GAAATAAAATAAAGATGACCGAGGAATGAAATGAATCCTTAGGGACAACTCAGCTCTGCTGAAAAAAACCATGTGACTTCATGGGAAACCAGGTTCCTTCAACCAGGGAAAGTCTGAAGCCCAAACAAGTGTCTCTAAGAGAAAAGATCTCATGGTGGTGACAAGGGTTAGTTATACTTTGTCTTCCCTTTTCTGGTTCAGAGTTCAAAAGATCTCGGGGTGGGGGGGGGGGAGCAAAGAGTTCCTCTGTTTTGCAATCCTACTCTCCTTCACTGAAAGAAAAATCCCCTTTCCAATGCCCATGTCACCTATCAAAAAGCCACCCAACTGAAAAGCAGGTAATAGCATCATTGTGGCCTCTGAGATAAAGTTTGCCTGTGGCTGCATGTTAACTTTCTGTTTGCAGCGGTCTTTAAAGCCAGGCTATTAATAATGCCATGTATAACAACGGCTTTTATTTATTCATAAATACAGCACAAACATCTTACTTGTCAAGGATTTTCTTTTCCTATAAAAAGATAATTAATTCAGGCTGGATAAACTTAATGGTGCATTTGCCATCTGGGCAAAGCAAACAAAACACCAGAATAGAATTGTGTGAAGTAAAATAATCAAAATATGGGATAAAAATATGTGCTTAAACTGTATTTTGATTTCTTTAACTACAAACAATTTTCCACCCCAAGTATTATGCTCATGCTTTATTTGAAAGAAAATATAAAAGGCAACAGGGCATAGAATAAATACCCAGCTGAACATGGACAAAAGTTTCAGGTGATTTCTCTCCTTTTTGTTTTTTCCACATCAGTAAGTTAAGCAAAATGTTTCACAGGCTCTGCATCTCTTCTCATCAATACCCATGAGGGACAGAACCTCTTATAAAATAAAATAATAATAGAGGTGGAAGTGCTTTGTGAACGTTAAAGAACCATAAAAGCGTAAGAGGGTTATTATTTCCATCAGCCTGGTGTGTCCTCAGAGAGCCACCCTGGGAGCTCTGATGTTATTAACTCAATTCAGGAAGCCGAATGTGGCTGATGATCATGATCTTTAATACCCTTGAAAAGAGAGTACTTGTCAAGTGGGACCATCACTGCACCAACTTTCTAGCCTCACCTTTAAGCTCCTCGCTGTCACTTATTCAGAAATATTGCTCCTTTCTCATCCTCTCCTTAAACACACCAGTCTTTGTTTCTTCTAAGCCACTCCACACCCTGACCCCATAAGTCCCTGAATTCAGGGAGTATAACTGCGCTTTCTCTCCATCCCACCACATCTGTCTTGCCTCTTTCTGTGTCTGGTTTTAACCGTGCCCATCACCAGTTAGCAGAATGTATCATTACACATATCCTGGAGCCTTCCTCTACCCCATTATTCTGGATCAGGAGGACCTGCCTCCATCACATCACATGGTTCTCATTAAAATGTGATTTAGCCCTGACTGGTTTGGCTCAATGGACTCGTTTGGCCTGTGGACTGAAAAGTCCCAGGTTTGATTCCGGTCAAGGGCATGTACCTTGGTTTCGGGCACATCCCCAGTAGGTGGTGTGCAGGAGGCAGCTGATCGATGTTTCTAACTCTCTATCCCTCTCCCTTCCTCTCTGTAAAAAATCAATAAAATATATCTTAAATTTTTTTTTAATGTGATTTAGAAAGTCCTGCTTGCAAGAAGCCTTCCCTGTGTTAAGATGTAGACCACAGCTCAATTCTGACTATTGCAGAACTCAACACCGAATTTACATGTTGATCCTCATGACCTTTTGTCTCTCACGTCCTATGAACAGTAAACAGGTTTGTTGTAGTTGACAGTGAACGAATAATTGCTTGTGGAAGTTGAACTCCAGTAAGTGTTGCAAGGAATTCATTTAATGACTGCAATACTAAAGTGTAAGATGATGTTATCAGAAATATATTTTTACCCTGGGATTCAGTGGTCGGGAGATTTTGACTTCAACTCTTCTCGGGACACTAGACTCATGTATTTTTTATACATGTCAGAATAAAAGTCCCTTTCTTTTGGAGTATAAAGCAAAATCCTTACCAGAGCCCATCCCATCAGATGATACTTGGTTTCCCAGTTTATTTCAGTGCTTTCTCTGAGCCTGGCCACTCTGGCCTTCCTGCCACTCTTTGAATATGCCAAAATCCTTCCTCACAGGCTGTTTCTCCAATTGCTTCTTCCCACTCCTCCCCTGCTCCAAATAATTCCTAATTATAATTTATAGTTGAACTCAGATGCCACTGTCTTAAAGAAGTTCTCTCTGATATCTTGAACCAATCCCTGTATATGCTCTGCTGGAGCCCTTCATAGAATTGGTATAAATGAACAAGCAATCACGTGATTAATTGGGTCATATGACTTTCTTATGCTAGAAATAAACTCCATGAAGTCTGAGACTACCATGGCCTTATTCGCAGCTGTAACTGCAGCACCCAGCATTATGTTCACACAGTAGGTTTTCAACAAATTGGATTACAATATACCTGAAGGAGTGAATTCCTTACTGAAAGAAAACAGTGACAATGATGACATTCAGGAAGTGTTGACAACATTTCTAAAAACTGAATGAGCAATTCCCAGTTCTGCTTCTGTGTAACGAGTTCCTCTGCAATTCCTCTCAAGCTTATTTTGAAGTCTCGGATTGAAGAAGTAAAATATCACGACTCTTCATTAATGATTCATTAATTTTTCTTCTGTGTCGCATCAGATAGATTATACAATTGGGGACTTTTCAGTGAAGCTAAAATTTACCTTGCATAATAAATTCCTTAGTCAAAACAAAAATTCAGCCATCAGACACACTCAGAAGCACGGAACCAAATCTCTATGGAAATGGGATTTCCCCTGGGCAAAATGTTTATACATGGTATGCATCTGCTAACTGACTCACACGTGAATATAGAAAGCTTACACAAAGCCTGATATAACACAGATGAAGGAACACAAATACATTTGCTAGTATTTCTGTGTGTTGGGGAGGAGAATATTACTTGATTTTAAAATTACTGCTTGATTTTACTATTGTATACGTCAGTTTCACCTATGAGCCATTAAATTTGATGGCCATAAACAGTAACACATCAAAATATAAGCTACTCTCACAACAGCAGCATAACAAAGTAATTCCATTGACTCTCTGTTCTAGGATAAAGAATGAGAGTATATAAAACTAGACCTGTGACTGGGTTTTAAAAATCCCTGTGCTCACCAATTCTGTCTTGTTCCTGTTTGCACTTCCATGTCCTCTGCCTTCTAGTCCTTTTTGCTTATTCTGGGAGAGGTTAGAAATAATATTTTCTCATACATCTTTTTCTGTCTCTGCAATGAAGAAAAGATGAGATTATAAGTCATCAATAGGGCTTTGGACTGTAAACCTGACTTTTATTAGCTTTACCTTTACTATGTGAGGTTCTAAGCCTACAGATGTGTGCTTTATTATTTGGTATTCACAAACACTTTCAGCAATTAGGGCAGTAGGTGAGACAGGAGTGCAGTGTCTTTGTCCAGGCAAATGACATTGGGCTGGTTAATTAGTGTCTTTGTCCAGGCAAATGACATTGGGCTGGTTAATTACGGAGGACAACTCAAGAAGGAAAAACTTTGAAATAAAATGAAAGACTGATTTTGTTAAGAATATAGAAATGAAAAATAAAAGGTAATGTTTTTCATTGTTATTTTGTTCTTAAGTTAGCTAAGGGTGTTTTAAGAAGTTGTATATCTATGCTTTGGGTTTCTCTCTCTCTCTCTCTCTCTCTCTCTCTCTCTCTCTCTCTCTCTCTATTTAAGAGAGAGGGAAAAACAGAAACATCAATGTGAGAGAAACACATTGATTGGTTGCCTCCTGCCCTCGCTCTGGCCAAGGCCTGGGAGAGAAACACATTGATTGGTTGCCTCCTGCCCTCGCTCTGGCCAAGGCCTGGGCTGCTTTGGGTTTCTTAAGATCCATGTTAAATTAAGCTACTAATGGGGAGGAATCCTACTTTTGAGGACTGAAAAGTGCCAAATTTTAAACCCACTTGCCTGCTTATATACCAGAATGGATATTTGGTCACTGTAATATTCATTGCCATTATTGGTGATGTGACTGCTGCTATGATTTTCCTTCCCCCATCCCAGCAAACACTGAAGGGAGGCTAACTTTACGGATTGAATTGGAAACTTAACAGTTTAATTGGTGCATTTTCCCTACCTTTTATCAATAGAAATCTAGGGGGGACAAACAAAAGATAAATTTTAAAAATTTAATTTCAGATGAATTAAAACAAACAAACAAAAAACCAAAAATAAGCAACAAAGAACTGCCACCATCCTAATCTCTAAATTTTAAAGTGTGGCTTCCAAGAACTATTTGTCTGGACTGAGGTCAAGGAGCAACTGAGAGCCAACACATGACTCTGAAGGTCAAATAGGATACAGATTTCTTCAAAACTATCTTGAAAGAAAATTTAAAGTGTATATTAATGAGATACATGAGCATGGATGGTGCACTGGTGACAAAAGAATGTTGCAATAGAGAACCAGTTTGTACTGTGCAATGGAGAGAAAGCAAATCTATAGAAGATCAATTCCTACCCTATGGTCTCTCAGTGAAGAGTCAGAAGGGAATTGGGTGAAAGAAATTTGTGGTGAGACAAGTACATTTCATTTAAGTCATAGTTCACTAAAAGAGAGCTTACAAATCTTAGTATATTGCAAAGCTATATAAATAGTTATTTTATGACAGAAAGTCATAAAATCAGTTAATTATACAAATACAGCATGCACACACACACACACACAAAAAACCCTGAAAATAAAGTACCTGTGCTTGGGATAGCATGAAATAAAGTATCATTGCAACCATTTGTTTTCTACATACAGTTCTACTTATCAGTGAAGGTTTTATTGCCACATTACGTACATGCCAGGAAGTTGTAATTTCTTTCTTTCATGACAGTTCTTTATATGTCAATAACCAAATTACAGAGGAAATCCCTGATTTAACACCTAGTTTCTCCTATCTTGTTGACAGTCAGTCAGTTCTCCCTCTGGGTGCAACACCTAGCTGAGAAGTAAATGAAGGCAGGTAGTCAGTGGTCCCAGACCCAGCAGTTGTTAAATAATTTGACTATCAACCTTAACAAATGTCCCTTATTTTCTTATAAGAAGTAAAACATCAGTGCAGTTTCAAAGGATAAAATATGTACATAATTTTATTCAAAAATTTATATTATGTTACAAATATGTACAATTTCAATAATAAATTAAAAATAAATGTCCATATACATCATGTTACTCAATGCCATTTTTCTGCCTTCATTTCTAAGAGTTCATCCGATGAAAGATCCTGATCCTCTTCTTGCTAGAAAAACTTGCTTTGGCAGCACACTGGAAATGCAAAGTGTTTCGGTGCCTTTGAGCAACGGGAAAGTGTTTGTAAATAACAGAAATGCTGAAGAGGATCACTGCAATCAGGAAGTGCCGATGAACATTTGTACAATATTTACAAAACTTCGCAAAAATTCTTTAACATTTTTTTCCTCCAATTCCTCACATTCTTTGCATCCAGATTCAGTTATATTCTGCAAAATAAAAAGAAAGGATTAGAATGGAAAGTCTGGTATATTTTGAATCATACAGTGAGGTCTTGAGACATGAAAACTTGGGCAAGTTAATATCATATTAGGAAGAACTGGGAAATTTGATGTGGGCTTATTTTTATAATGGACTAGAAGACCGGTGCATGAAATTCGTGCACAGGGGGTCCCCTCAGCCCAGCCTGCGCCCTCTCCAATCCGGGACCCCTCAGGGAATGTCCGACTGCTAGGGATCACAGGGATCGGGTTTAAACCGGCAGTCGGACATCCTTCTCACAATCCTAGACCGCTAGCTCCTAATTGCTCACCTGCCTGCCTGCCTGCCTGGTTGCCCCTAAATGCCCCCCCTCCCTGCCAGCCTGATCACTCCTAACTGCCCCCCCTGCCAGCCTGGACGCCCCTAACTGCCCCCTGCTGCTGGCCTGGTCGCCCTTAACTGCCCCTGGTGCTGGGCGAAGGTCGCCACAAATTGCCCCTCCCTGGTTGGGCCTGGTCCACTCTTATCAACTGACCCCCTGCTGGCATGCTCGCCCCCAACTACCCCCACTGCTGGCCTGGTTGCCTCTCACAGCCGCCCCCCCCTCCACTGGGCCCGGTCGCCCCCCAAACTGACCCCCCCCTGGCTAGCATGCTTGCCCCCCAACTACCCCCCCCTGCCGGGCCTGGTCATAGGCAGCCATCTTGTGAGGGCATGAGGGTTAATTTGCATATTACCTCTTTATTATATATGATTAAGGACATTGACAAAAGTATGCCATGTCTATCAGACTGTGGATTCCCTACTTAGAGCCTTCAATGGTTTCTGTTCATCTACCCTCAAATGAAGTCCAGGCCTCCCAGCATGGCACATAGGCCCTGCTTACCTATTTCTTGCACATTTCCTCACTGTCTCAAACATTCTGCCCTAGGAACAGTGAGCTCACACCTTTATCCCCAAGCAGGCCATGCTTTTAGATGCCTCACTGCCTTTACTTCTCTCTCTGTCTGTTCAGCACTTCCTATTTCAGCTAAGATTACTCAGCTGCTGTCTGGACTAGAAAGTTTTTCCTGAACCTGTGAGCCCCAGTGATAAGCCTAAATGTCCCATTGCTACATTCTCAGAATCCCTGGTGTGGATTCTCCCTTACAACGCATCGCATATTAACTGATGTTATGGACTTTTATGCTTTTTATACCACTATTCTTAAATGCTTCCAGGAGAGCATGGCCATGAAATTTTGTTTCCCTAGCATTTAGCACAGGGCTGTACACATAGTATTCATGCAATCATTGCTGGTTGAATTGAACTATTTATGTGAATACCACAAATCCTTGTAATTCAAACAGAGTTTCACTGATAACTAGAATATTTCAAATGTAGGAATCATAAATACATTTTTTGAGATCAGCTGAACCATGAAACCTCTACCAGCAACAAACAAAATTAGATTCGATATCCATTAAGCACTTGAAATTCAGATTCACCAGTATTCATCAAGCACAGATTCTATGCTAAGCACTGTCATATTCCATATAACGCTGTCCGATTTAATACCGAAAATAATCATGTCAGATAGGAAGGCAGAGGTATTAAATGACACAGCTCAGTTGACATAATAAATGAAATTCTCCATGTCCAAGTTTTTTGACTGTGCAGTCCCGCCCACTCCTTCCACTACATGTGTCACACTATGCCAGAATTGCATAAAAGAGCTGACCATTGATACTGTTATGAATTATTTGTTGCATGACTCAGTCTTTCTATCAATAAGATAGAAACGACACATCATAAAGAGCATTTTAAACATTAATTTAAACATTAACATATTCTTTTCATAAATACAATGAGCAAGTAGTATATGCCAGGCATTGTTCTGGGAGTTGGGATACAGCACTGAAAAACACACAAAACCGGCCCCTTTGAAGTTGACATTCGAGTGGGGAAAAGCAGACAATATTCATTAAGTAAAATGCATAGTATGTCAGAGAGTAGGACATGCAGAGAAGGGGATGTAGCAGGCTGACATGGACATGGACTGCAAACTGTGAAGTGGTGACATCACTGAGAAGGTGACATTTAAGTAAAGACTTAAAGCAGCCTGGAATTCTTAGGGGAAAATCCAAGGTGTCCAGCCACACAAGCTGTAGGCTCTTTGCACTTTGAGTTCCCTCCACCTGAACATACTCCCCCAAGTATCCTTAGTGCTCGTTCCCTCACGTCTTTGCCAAATGTCAGCTTAGTAGGTAAGCCTTCTCTAAAGTAGAGTCCCAGTGCCTTTACCTGCCTTCTTTTTGGCCATTAGATTTAGTGAGTAACTGATGTATTATTCATTTGCTTATTGATCAGTTTACTTATGCTTCCTCCCTCCTTAAGATCAGGGACCGTATTTGTTTTTCACTCCTATTTTCCTGAGGGCCTACAATGGGGCTCAAAAATTATTTGTTAAATTAATTAGTTATTATATCTTCTTTGTTCATAAAACTTCTTTCTACCCACTTTGCTTTGGCCACTAGCGTTTTGCCATGAGAGCCATAATCTATTGTACCTTCGCATAGCTGATCTCCCAGCCTACAAGAGGAGCTCCCAGTGTTTGCCTTCCTGGAACCCCATATTGCTGATGTTGCCTGAGATTGTCTAAATTATTAATATTTGATACTCAAATTATTCATATTTTTTGTTATCCTTTTACAGCATGTATAAAAGGGCGGACTCTGACGTGAAACTGCTCAGATCTGAATCCTGGCTCCCCATTTTCTTAGCTGCATGAATTGGAGGAAGTAATTCAAGCTCTCAGTGCTCCAATTTCTTCAACACTGAAACAAATAAGGACAACTACCTCACAGATTTATTGTAAGGACTCAGCGAATTACCAATTAACCCTTAAAGATCGTGTCTGGCGGAGTAATAACCCATTGAACATGGATTACTAGTATTCATGCCAAACCCTTAGTTACGCGGAGTAATGTATACCCACTGCACCTGCTGGTAAACACCTTGAGGTCAGTGACCTGACTGGTTCACCACTGTCACTCTAGCACTGAAGCACACTGCCTGGCTCCATGCAGTACACGTGTGCTGAATGAATAAGTCAATGAGCAGTTTAGGATCGTGTGCACACTAGTGATGCTTCCATTCTGGATGCCTTTGAATTAAGTCCCCTCCCTTCCGAGCGTCTGCTTGTCCATTCTATCCAGCTCATGACTTCTCCCAGTCAAGCCAGAAACATCTGCCATAACTCACCCCATTAGATGATAAACTGGAGTTTGTTAGGATGATAAGGTTTTCTATCACCTCTCTAATGTCCATATTATTCGACTCCTGCCAAATAACGTGTAACTCCAGGAGAAAGCACTTCATCGCTGTGACTTTGCAATTGGGCTGAAAATAAAGTTACAAAGAACCACTTTGAGGAACACGTTATTTTCCCATTTTTCATTTTCACACAGATGCAACTTTGATTTTTTAAAAAAAGTCAATCCAAATATTTTATAAAGAAACACAACACCCCTAAAATTTTTTACAAAGGAAGCAGCTTGATTTTTTTTTTCGCAGTGAAATTGAAACCAAAGCAAACTGCTAACAAAGCAATCAAGGAGGATGGTGAGTTTGTGCAGAAGAAAGAATGAAACTGGAAAATGTGGAAATCCTAGGCCACCTTTACTCACTGAGCACAGTTCCTCTGTGTAGAAGGGTGTGGATACTGTCTGAGACTCTGAAAACACTGATATCTGTAGTGAAAGAACTTTTAGGATGAGGTGGTACTGTTAACATTTGAAACAGTGGTAGCTGTCAATCATGCTATTCCTGCAAGATCCAAAGTTTCAGAGGCAGATGGGATTCCAGGAAATTTATTAGAAAAATCAAAGCAGGGGTAGTACCTGGTTGGCCAAATCAGAAAGGTACCTTATAGGTACCATAAAAATGTGTTTTCCACAAGGGTTACCTTAACAAAAACCTAAACTGAAAAGAAAAGAGGCATTTAATGAACACCTGGGGATTTGCCCATGTGATGCTTGACTCCATGCGTTGCACAGTGCTGGGACCCTGCAGGCCCTGAACAATGCTTTCTGCACAGGTGAATGAAAGCAGAAACACACTCATGTGCCTGCCACTGGCAACACAGTAGTCATCCAGTTACCCGTAGCCAACCACAGTCTGAAAATATTAAATGGAAAATTCCAGGAAAAAACAATTCATAGGGCATGGCTCTATGATCCTCCTGACATGTCGTCAGAAGGTAAATAGTAGCTTCATAACACTCCATCACTTCACTTCATCTGCTCACAGAGGCATCGTATCATCTCACATCATCATAAGAAGGGTGAATACAGTACATTAAGATATTTTGAGAGAGAGACCACTTCATACAACTTTTTTACAGTATATTGTTGTAATTGTTGTCGTTTGTTGTTATTTATTGTTGCTAATCTCTTACTGTGCCTAATTTATAAAATAACTTTGGCATATGTATTTCAGTAGGTACAGGAAATAATAACAAACTAGAACAATTACAATAATGTACTGTAAAAAAGTTATATAAATATGGTCTCTCTCTCTCTTTCTCTCAAACATTGTATATATAGAGTTCGGTACTATCCGTGGTTTCAGCATCCACTTGGGTTCATGGAATGTATCATATCCCTCATGGATAAAGGGAGACTAATGCATTCCCCTTCCCCAAAAACAGCTGCTCAGGATCAAAAGGGCAAATATTATCACCAAGTTGGTAGTAAAATAGATAATAAATAAAATATATATATATAAAAGCCTAATACACAAAGTGTCCCCTCAGGAGTTCGACCAACAGGGAATTTGATCGCTCGCTATGGCATGCGCTGACCACCAGGGGGCAGCGCAGAATGAAGGAAGGCCCTGGCCAGCAGCCAGCAGCCCCTAGGGACCCTACCCATGCATGAATTTCATGCACCAGGCCTCTAGCAGAATAATAAAAAATAAAACCACGGTTCAGAAAAGCACCCAGGTAACACAGCTAGAAAGTGACTGAGTCAGGATTTAAATCTCAATGTCAGTCTCAGCTTCTTTCTACAACCCAAGAATTGCAAGGTTAAAAAAAGCAATCTCAGGGTGCTGAGAATTGGTGGTTAATTGACTACTGTCTACTTTGAATAAATGCAAAGAAAAATGGAAAGCATGCTGAAGCCAAAGGAGGGAGACGATTTCTGTGTGCACTGCACTAAGTGGTCGATGAATATCTATTTTTCCTAGTTTCTGGCTATGGCTTCTTTCCAATAGTACTTAGAAAGTCCTGGTGGGGGCAAACCCTTCTATTTCAGGGAAGTTCTAATTAAGAAATAACAGAGAGGACTCCCTATTCTGAGCAATACATGGCATAGTTTGTTTTCCATGAGGTGAAGAAGTCAAGGAATTGTTTCTTGATTTTTAGTAACCAATCAAGAAAAGGACTGGCAACATGCCTGAAGTCATACATGCCTTGGGCAATGCCAAGGTATTCATTAACAAGTTCAATATTATTATTTAATTCTGATAGGTTTTCTGGGTTGCGTTTGTTTCTTTTCTCACAGAGAAACCAGCCAGGATCCTTTTCTGACTATTGTAGAGATTCATGCAAAATGTGAGCCATAAATGCATTTAAGCAATTTGTAGGAAATATGATTAAAGATGGTAATATACTACAGCACTGGAAACAACTGATATGTTGGGTACTCTTAAATTAAATCAGTTAACCTGATTCTTGCATTTAATTGCATCACAAAATTATATGATATATTTTGTTTGACACTGATGGAAAAGGCTTTTATATATTGTATCAAAAAAGCATCTATGTAGCTCTTTGATCCAAAGCCCCACAATCTCAACAATTACTTATAAAAATTCATTGATTGTATAAGAAAACACCAAAATTTAGATTTTAAAACTACATATTTTAGTAAATTTATAAAAAATATACTTTTTAGACTTTGAAAACTGGAAAATATAGTAATTTTAAAACAAAAACTATACTCACATGAGCATCACTTTCAGTATATAAAGTGGCATCAATATGTATAGACTGAAAGGGAAGAAAATTAGGTAATATAAAAAATTATGCACTGCTTTAGATATGAGAACAATCTACTGACAACATTAAGCTTTTTAAATTAAATTCTTTAAGATAATTTTAGACTTGTATATAATTATAAGAGAAATTACAGTGAGACCCTGTGTATCCTTCACCATTGCCCCCCAATGGTAATATCCTGCATAACTACAGTATAAGATTACAACCAGAAAATTACATTGATACAATCCACCCACCTTGTTCAGATCTCACCATATTTATGTGCAATAAAGTGTGTGTGTGTGTGTGTGTGTGTGTTGTTCTATGTAATTGTATCAGTGGTTTGTATTTCAGTTATTATATTTTCATTTCTATAATTTCTTATTTGGTTCCTTTTATATAGCGTATTACTCTGCAAAGACTTTCTGATTTTTTCAGTTGTTTCAAGAATATCTGTAATTGCCTGTGGGTGCAATTTTATGATGTTGCTTGAAAATCCTTGTGTAATAATTTTGACATCTAATCCATGTCAGTTTCAGAATGTGTTGATTATCTTTTTTCACTCAAGTTGTAATTTTTTCTGCTTCTCAATATGATGAGTGAGTTTCAATTGTATTCAGGTACTTTGGCCATTACATCAGGAGACCTTGATCTTATTTAAATGTTCTAATTTAGCCTGCAGTCACCTTGATTAGGTTTAGCATGCGGGGTCTGACCTATGTTTGTGTGCTTAGATTCCAATGAAGTTCCGTTTTCAGAATTTTTGTTGTGCTGATTTGGAAGGGTGGCTCACTTCATGCCCCTGGGACTCCGTTGGTCCCTGCTGTGTCACCCAGGGGGGCAGAAGACACTTCATTAAACACAGCAGTTGTCAGTGGGCTCCTCTTCTCTGCCCCTCCACCCTGTAGGCTCTATCAGCCCAGTGGGTGATGTTAGGTTGGAGAGGGGTTCTCTAGCCCACAGGCAGAGAGCCTTTCCCAGGGTCAGGCTATTCTCCTTGCAATTGCCCCAAGACAACCACGGCTCTAGTAGAAGAAGCAAATCTCTCTCTGGGCTGTTGCGACAGAGAGCTCTTCATGCTGGGCCATTTATAAATTGAATTTAAAGATAATTAGGATCCAAAAATTGTAAGTAAAAAATTTCAATTGAGGTTCTACAAGGCCCACTAATTTCTACAAAAATATTTTTGTTTCAAGTGAGATGCATTAAGACTGATAGCAAAACACAGGGACAGGGCTACGCCACAACAATTACATCAGATAGTTTATGGAAATATCAGGACTTACTTGAATAAGATTTTCAAATTTTTTCAAATCACTTATTACATCCTGCCAGTTTGCCTCTGTTTTTGGAACGCTTGCACTGATGCAGCTGAAAGCAAAACCAAAAAGTAAAGCATTTTGAATGAACATAATACCGTCTTGATAAATACTAAAGGCAAAAGAGCAAGCAAGAATGTTTTGTCCTGATGAGTGAAAAGATGAGTGTTAGTCTTGCCTTCATACATCAACATCCCTATAAAGGAACAGAAACACCAAACACGTAGGACAACCTCGTGTTAATTTAAAGCTAATTTGGGGACTGACAAAGTTATGAAGACATAACATATAAAAACCGGGTGCAATTGATTACAATGAATAAAAACAGTACCTAATGTGTGGTATGGCTCAGTAAATGTTTTTGAATGAATGACTATTTTTCTTTAAGTAGAGGTCCTATCAGACTTTTAAGTCTAATAAATAAGTAAAATTTTTAAAATGAGCAATAATCACTTTCATAAAATGATTTTGAATTAAAATGTCCTCTATAGTACATTAAACATGCCCCTGGTATGCTGTGCTCATCATTGCTATGCTTGCAGCAGCCTTTTCCATAAACATGACAGATGTTAAGCCCAATCTAGGCTGAGTGGTCATATATTTACTCATTTTGGTAAAACAGAGATTTTGAATCTGGACAAAAGATATGTACACTGACCAAATGACTATGGGATGATTCTGAAAGCTTCATGAAAAATAGCTGCGCCCTGATGGATTTTCATAGAAGCACAGACCCAACTCTAATCCTTCTTTCGAGGAAGGGTTACCTGTGCAAATCTACTGGTTCCCACACTGTGAGATAAAGGCTGACCTGAGTCAGATTACAGAGCTAGAGGATGGGTGCTTAGGCCAAGCGGCACGGTTTACTAGTTGCATCTAAGAAAGAAGAAAAAAGTTAATCGGCATGGAAAATATGAATGTTTTAGGAGAAAAAACAAAAGGTCTAAAGAAAGAAAGAAATGCTTCTGAATGAACTAGGATAGGGCTCAAAGGACAGGAGAAGCCAGTGTCAGGAAATAGATTTAAAAAAAGTAACTCGATTGAATCCTAAATATCTGTTTTGTTACTGCCATGAAAATCATGCAGGATATTAATAAGGAAGGTACTTTCAAGCGTAGTTATATACCAAAGGTCCATTTTATCTGCAGGATGTTAATACTCTTCGCAATCCTATTAGGATATAGAAATGTTCCGTGTTTACCAAACCTTCTGAGTCTCCATAATCAGCCCTCTCTCATACCCCAAATACTGACTACCTAAGGTGTAAGGCGACTGAACACACACCATTTCATAGGGAAGATATTGAGGAAGAATGGCAATTAGCATGATGATATTTACGCCTAAAGATAAAATTACCTCCAAATGAAGACATGAATGCCAGCCTCAGTTAAGAAATGACTGTTCAGAAGTAAACACAAATAGCACTGGATGGACGTACTCCTCAAATATGGTCTCTGGAAAATAAAATCATAGAGAAAATGATTAAATATCTTACCTAAAAGGTGATATTTAAATTAGTAGTTTATCGTATCTTTAAATCAAAATTTAAGAATTAATGTTCTTTTTTCAGAATTAATAAAACTAGAATGTATCTGCTTTGTTGCCTGCCCTCCAGCTTTGTTTCTTGTGGACAAAATTCTTTAATATGTTTTTAATACATACCAATTTTAAGAAAATGTACAAATCTAATAATATCACCACCAATTTTTTTTTATTATCCTTAATCTCCTTCTCATCCTTCTTTCATTTTAAATAGTTCAACATATTTTATGCAGCATAGATTAATAACACAAAATACTAACCTGGGTTTATAGTTCTAGATTAACTTCATGCAACTGTATGAAAATTAATTATAAATGAATATCACTTGGAGAACGAATTGGATAGAAATGGAAGTAACTGAAGACACTCATGCCATCATGAGAGCCACTGTATAATAATCTTTCTTGGTGATTTAGGAATATCACTTCTCTTGGGACCTCCCAGAATTTTGATACTTTTGTCTGCCTCTTTCATGTTGTCAAAGCTTTAGAATTTCAGATGACAGTGTTGACTGTCACCTTAACCACTAAGACTCTGTGATTCATTTAGTCTATGCTGAAGGCATGAGTAACAAAAACCCATACTGCACAATTCACTGAGGAGATATATATTTAAAGAACAATAGAGTGAGGTAAGTGAAATAATACATTCACAAGCAAGACATGGAGAGTATATCAAGGTTAACAGAGTTAAAAATCCTATCATTATGAAATATCTGAGATTTAAGTGACCTTTTAGAAAAGTCCATATACTATCTTCATCTAATTATTCTTACCAAAATTCTCATTACTCAGTGCCCAGATAAAGCCTTAAATATTGAAGAAGAGCTGGCTATGGCAATGGGTTTCCAGCAGCCATCCATCCAGAATACTTCCTATAATAAAATCCAGGGAAAATAATGATCCATTAAAAACACAAATAAACTATAGGGGGTGGGGGGAATGAAGTAAGGGAATTAATATTTATTGAGCATGGGGAAGGTCAAGGGGGAAAAAAGGAGACATATGTACTACTCTTTGTAATACTTTAAGCAATAAAACAAAATTAAATAAAAAAGAAAGGATAGAGATGAACAATATTATTTCCCACCTAAAAAAAAAAAAGAATCATCCAAAAACATGAATTCCTTAAGAATAAATTTTGCTAAATAATGTATACAAGACCTCTGAAAACTACAAAATATCTCTGGAAGAACCAAAATAGATAAAGAACCAAAATATGCCATGAAAAGATTAAATATTTTTTAAATCTCAATTTTCCCCAAAGTAAAAAAAAAAATTATTGAGCACCTATTTTTTTCTCACAGGCATTCTATTAGTCACTGAATATATGTATCACATTTAATCCTCACAACAGTCCTATGGGGTAGGGTTAGCAGCATTTGGCAAGTTGTCTGGGCCCCCCAGCAAGTCTAAGACAGCCAAGATTAGAGACCAACCAATAGATGGTTCTCTCTCACCTCTCTCTCTCTCTCTCTCTCTCTCTCTCTCTCTCTCTTCTCTCTCTCAGAAAAAAAGAAGTGTGTGTGTGTGTGTGATCCATGTTGGTCAAAAAAAACACCTGAAAAGGTAAAATATTCTATTCCTTTCTCTTTGGTCAGGACTCAATGTGTACTATTAATATCCTATCTAATAAAAGGGTAATATGCAAATTAACCATCACTCTGTCACAAAGATGGCGGTGCCCATAGCCACAAGATGGTGGCGCCCAGTCCTGTCAGCCCCACCGGAGTTCCCCAGTCCCAGCAGGGTGGCTGCTGAGAGCAGGCAGCATGAGCAGACTGGCAGAATGCTTGCTTTGTCACCGCGGCAATGAAGGGCCTCTGGGCAGCGGGCACGGAGCGGCCAGGGATGGGAGGAGACACACTTGCGTCATTGCAGGACAGGCTGAGGGACCCCCCTCCCCCGCACAAATTTTGTGCACTGGGCCTCTAGTATAATTATTATCAATGATAGTAATATTAATTAGGCTACGTATCGCTTACCTAGTGCTCTCAGATTTACAAAATTATTTTCATGTACATTATCAAATTCAATCCTAGCAATATTGTTATGTGGAAGATATTATTTTTTTTAACAGTGAAGAAATTGAGGTTCTAAGAGATTAAGTAGTTTGCTTCAGTTAAATGTCATACATGTGGCCATAAAATATGACCTCACATTCCAGGTTGGGCAGGAGGAGGAGGCATGCAAGGAATTTCACAAATTCTGTGGTTGGGAAGTGTAGGCTCCTTACTGTAGGAAGAACCTGGCCCACTCCAAGCGAATAATAAATAAAAGCCACCGTCTCTGCTAGCATAAAAGCAGGTCTTCCAAAGTTGAACTCAAGTTCTCCCACAGGCATTATCTCATTTGACTCTCAACAAAAACCTGTCAGAGAGAAGTGGCTGAAACCAGGCTCACTACTTTATGAGCGGCAAACATAGGGATGAAATACATTGTCCAATTCCTTTGCTTCCATATTTTTGGAGAACTACAGAAGAGTGGTTAAGCCTGGCATACAAATTGCATGTGGTCATAAAATGCCCTTTTAATCAGCATCTTTTGTTTGTCCTTCATTCACCTGGGTGCCTGCATCTGGGAATTAAAAGAAGACTAAGTCCTAGCCTGACCCTCAGAGAGCTCACAGAGTTTAAACAGGAAGTTTTGGCAGTCCTGTGACTGGGTCTCCCTGTACAGTGCTTGTTGACCTGATGACGGGCACTGCTAGCCTAGCAGGATGTCACTGCGCAGGGGTAAACAAGAAGAGTGGACAGGCACATCAACACATCTGGCCAGTTCTAAGAGCTTTAATTCTGGAGTGACTTATGAAAAGAGCTGTAAATATGTTACATTCTATACATTTTGAATATTGTAATTTATCCCACTGAGAAAATATATCTAACACATGACCGTTTGCTTTATTTTATTCTCTTTGTTTACTTGCCTAGTTGCACATGTAAAATAAATTTTCATAGACTTAACATCAAAAGAAGAGTTCTAAATATTAGTTTATACGGTAAAGACATTTATCTATTCACTAAAACACACTAAAAATGAAGGCAAATCAAGATCGAATGTGCACTATAAAGAATGTAAGGGAGTATAGCTGTCCTTTATTGGAAGGTGGGTTGATGTGGAGGTGTAACTTCTCAACTATGGCTTTGATTTTCCCAGTTATTTAGGACTAACAGTCATCAGCAAAGAGTGATGATGGGGAAGAGGTGTTAGGGGTTGAAGACAGAGGAGAATGAAAGAAATCACCATCAAGGTAAGAAAGAGAATAAACTAAAATAAGTATGGGATGAGAGCCATGCCTATTGGAAGTTCATGGTCATGAATGGAGGTAAGATTAGTGTGTGTTTTCTCCAGCCACATTAAGCTGCAAGGAACAGTTAGGCCTGGAATAGGTAGAAAACTGGACTGAATCATAGCTGTGTATGTCAGACAAGCGCAAGAAAGAGGCAGGGGTTGTAGCAAGTATGTTAGGGGATGTAAGGGAGCTACATCCATGGAATTTTATTTTCTTTTTATTGTAAAACTTCTTGGAGGAAGTGTTATTGGAATCATACTGTAAAGAATGGGCAGATTTTAGACATGAGTTTTTAAAAGGAAACAACATTCTAGTTGGAAGAAAGAGCTGAGCAAGAACATACGCAAACCAGTGCAGTGTGTATTCAGAAAAAAGTGAGTCATTTGATAACAGTCTGAAAGTAGTGGTAGGTAAGAGTGGACAAATCTGTTGCCCCTGTATAAAGCAGGAACTGGTAAACATCTTCTCTAAAGGGCCAGACAGTACATCAGGCTTTGTAATAATAGGCCTTGTAGGGTCTGTCTTGAGGATGTCACTCTGCTATTCCATTGTGAAAACAGCCATAGACCATGCATGAATGAATGGGTATGGCTGTGTTCCAATACAACTTCATTTATCAAAACAGATGATTGGTGAATTTGACCCACAGTTTATAGTTTGCAGACCTATGACTCCTGTGGATCTTTTAATCAGTCCCATTGGAATACAGCTGAGAAACTGATATCTTCAAATGTCTCAGATTTTCCTGTCTGTCATTAAGGGAACTAGCATTTTTCAGTAATTGCTTTCACACTACTTTTAATTGATACCAATATTATGAAAATGTCAAACATAAAATTTTGTGATACAATCTGTGTTCACTAGTAAGTTAAAAAATATATATGAACTAGGTTACCATGGTTACTACTGTGATTTTGAAAAAGTAATCCATGCAAAGATAAGATCTGAAGTTGGTATTTAATGCTCTCATAAAGCCACACACATGATAGTAGAGCCCATAAATCTCAGCTTATCAAAACAACAAAAGTAAATGATTAGGTAGGATGTTTCTTCTTTTAAAAATACAATTTCATACAAAGTTTATAAAATATATGTATTTTAAATATAAATTTTAAATAAAACGTTTTTCTTGGGAATACTTAAAACAATACAAATTGCTAAATTATACTGGAAAGTCTTCAAAGCAAATTGTACACATTTAAACATCTATAATGCCAAGGACAAAGGCAGGGATAAAATTCGGATAGCTAGGTTATCATGACTATTCAAAAAAACATTCCTTAAATAGATGGTATCATAAAAGGTGAATAAAAAACACCTCAGGAAGTTTATCGTATAAGATAGACAATGATGATGCATATATATAGTTAGAGGGCATATTTCTTAGTATAGTTCTATGTAGCAATATGTTCATGTGCTTTTAAAAAAATTTTTTTTACATTTTTTATTGATTTTAGAGAGAAAAAAACACATCAATGTGTGAGAGAAACATCAATTGGTTGCCTCCCACATGCACCTGGACTGGGGATTCAAACCCACAACCTGGCACATGCCCTGTTCAGGGATTAAACCAGCAACCTTTTGATGCACAGGATGACACTCAACCAACTAAGCCAGACTGACCAGGGCCATGTGCTTCATTTTTTATTTTTTATCATTAGGCGCAAACATTCTTGAAAAGGGTTTGTGGGTTTTTGAAAAATGCTAGCTAGTACACTTCTCTAAGGCAGGTATAATGTGATATTTAAGGAAGTTTGGGGCATAAAACAAGTTAACATTTAGTATATTTGAGTCTAAGTACTTTTTTAAAACCTCATTCATGTATTTATTTTGCAAAAATGTGACATTCTTGTGGTCAGAAACCTTGTTTAGTCCTGTACCTCCAACATATAAAAGCATCCATGATACATAATAAGTGCATAGCACGTTTGTTGGATTTTATTTTTAATTTATTTATAACTACATTGTCCCCATTGTCACAACTATTAACCTCTTAGCTGCACTTGCCTCCCTATCCAGCAGATGGCTCAGTTAGTCACTGTCATATCCTAAGTAGCACCCTGAATTTCCTCCACATTTCATCTTTCTGCTACATCTATTTTGCCAATTTCAAATTCCAAGCTACAAAGTATTGCTGGAAAGTATGTGCCATTAGAATTTCCTGAGATGCAACTGGTAATGGGCCTTTTCTATATCCTACAGCTTTGCTCTTGCAGACATTCCCCACCACACATTTAATATCAACTTTATTGAGGTATAATTTCACATTTTAGGTATATGGTATGCAGAATTTTGTATACATCCATGAAATCACCATCACCAACATGATTATAAAACATCTATAATCAAATTTCTCTCACGCCAACTTGCAGTCACTGCATTCCCAATTCCCACCACCAGGGGCAACCCCTGACCCAACATGCACTTTTCCAACTAGCAAGGTGGAAGAAAAATCATAAGTAATCTCCATATGGGAAATAATGTGGGAGAAGTAAACTCGTGTTAAGATTATTTGAAGAAGGTGAAATACATTCATGATGATTAACTGCAAAAATCAAAAGAAAAGTTTACTGCAGAAAAAGA